AGCGCTGGCTGGAGTGGCACTGGGTACTACAGCGCTGCTGGGAGGAAGAAGCCGGGAGCTTCCACCTTGGCTATGGTGGAGCTCTACCGGTAGGAGGAGGAGGGAGAAGGGGACCAAGGAGGAGAGTGGTGAGGTACTTACCTGGCTATGGTAGACACCATCTTCATCACCTTGCTAGGCGCTGCATCAGGAAGGCCCCAGTGGGGGTAGTACCGCATCAAGGAAGCTCGGGACAGAGTCAGGCATGGTGGCTGAGTGGGCAGTGGCATAGCTGCATGGTGATGACCTTGAAGTGGGGCAGCGACATAGCTGCTTTGGGTTGTCCTTTGGACAGGAGGCTGAAGCCTCAGTTGTCCGCCATAGCCTCGGCCTGTATGTAGAGGAAGAGGAAGGGTGGCCATGGCTATGGTGGACCTCATGTTGTGCCTGCAGTAGAAGTGGGATTTGGACATTGATTCTGGTTCAGTCATTCAACATTATTATTGTTCGTAACAAAAGCAAATTACCACCAAAGCCTACTGCAGAAAAGTGACAATGCACCTTGTGTTGACCCAAAACCTATTCTCTCTCAAACCACCTTCTGGGACCTTGAAGCCATCTCGTGCAAGGTGATCACTCCCAGCTTCTTATTTATGGCCCATGTTTTCTTGAAACCTCGCAGGGTCTTACTTCTGGCACTACCTTTTGCCGGTTCAGCTTTGCGACACCAGTCTACCAAAATCATCCTTCTTTGAGTGGCTTTCATGCCTTCCTTCAGGCTTCTGAAAAGAGAATGTCATCAAAAAGTTTTCTATGTCGCTCCCACCATATCTACAACACCACCACTGCTTGTACGTTTAGTGCAATGAATCCCCAACCCCCCTCAAATCCAGATTGTCCGGAAGGATTCCGAGGTCCTCCCAACCTTGGTTCCAGTGTAGCTCTGCTGGGCCTCTCATCTCATTCCAAATTTGCTCCCCCCATGCCAACAACCTGCACGACAGGATGCAGGACGGCCATATATGCTGCTGATCCTACAACATTATTTTGTGTTCCATGAATATGCTCAAATTAATATAAAAAGGAGACGTGAAAGGTGAGACCAGTCCATAGGAGGATACTCCTGCAGGCATCTATCTTAAAATCCTACACCTGGCACATTTTGTTCCTATTTGGAAAATACAGTTCCAAAGAGACATTTACATCGGAGCTGAGATTTTTGACTACTGTGTCCAACTTAGCTCTCTGAAGCATACAGGCCAGGTCAATGTCTCCCAGCATCAATTCCTCTCGCACACACCCTTCTCGACTTCATGAGACAGAAGAAAATTACACAGAAATCATGGGCCTCCACCTCATGCTCGTTTCAGCTTCACAGGCATGCATGAGGCAACATAACGAGTGATCAACGGCCTCCGCAATAGAGAGGAAGACATAGCAGAGTTCACATAACCAGCACATCCGTTGGGAGCAACATGAGCAACTAACCCACTTTTCCATATATGCCAGCAGCCCCTTGTAAGCAAAGATTTTCCCCATGTTAACCTGCACTGCAATGCATGCTAGGCAACAGAGAGTCCTCATTACATTTAAGCCCCACGTCCGTGGATCCACCCAGTCCCCTGCAGGGCCTAACATTCCACGGATCCAAACCTCCCCTAAACTGTGCCAGTCAATTACTGCCATTTGAAGAACTACTTTTTTTTTTTTTTTTTTTTTGGACCTTTTTTTATTATTATATAAAGGCTATTTCTTTAAGCCCAACCAATTCAATTACCTGTCAAATCTGGACAGGACGGCCTTTCAGGCCTTTTTTATTGTCATTATAGTTTTACGGGGAACCCCGTAGCAGCCACACCCGTCCTCAAGCCTCCAACGAGGGAACCTGCGGGAGCTGCACCAACCAGCAGGTGCGATACCTGCTACAGCAGGTGGGCGATACCGGCCAGGGGTCAGCCGGTAGCATCAGGACCGAGCTTCTTCGATAGGCCAGTCACTGTGCCTCCCCTCCGGTCCCCTCCCCCTATGAACATCAGCAGTCTCTGCTCAATGCCACTCGGGGGGACCAACGGCATATCTCCAGGTGGCGGGCGCCAAGCTTTCCCAGGAAGGTACATGAGGCCAATGGGGATTGAACCCAAGACCTCCTAAATGCCACTTGCGTGCCTTACCAACTGAGCTAGGCCGCTGGACCATTTCTCGATTTATGCACGTCATCCTTGCACAGGGGCCATGCTAATCTTCTCTGTATCGTTCCAATTTTAACGGATGTCCTGAAGGACAGAAAGAAGAACTACTTTTTCAGGGTTGCTTTTTCATAAAAAAAGGGTGATGCCACGTCTTCTTTGCAGTCAGCTCACGCTGTACACATCACCCAGAATCAGTGACATTGACAGCAACGAAGTTTGAGACAACTCCCCTTTGCGCAACCCCGCATGTCATCTTTTAACCACGTATGTCCCTGCTGATAATTGCTTCATGGACCTGTCTTGGATTGGAATGGAGCAATAACTTGCCAATACGGCATTTTTTTGGCATTGTTTGGAGACCTGCTAGATTTGAAGACATTATGTGGTGGCTTACTAATAACTGAAGCGGCAGGTCTTCCATTGGTATTCTTTCCTGGCACAGGCAGTCGATGCTCTGGGAGTCCTAGAGTAATCAATGATGTTCTGGTACTCAATCTTTTCTTTCTGATAGATATCCCGTGTCTTTTGTACTATGAGACCCTGGGCTCAGTTCCCAGCGCATGCTGCTCCCCATGAATAGACTGGAGGCTTCTCAACGGTGTTACATACAGCGCGTGCACACGGGCCATTTTGCAGGCCCGACGGCCATTTTGCAGGCCCGCGTCCGTCCAGGCTAAAAGCCTGAACTTCAGGCCGAAAGCCTGAATTTCAGGCCGAAAGCCTGAAATCCAGGGCTTACAGGCCCTCTGTCGGTTCAGGCCAAAAGCCTGAAGTTCAGGGCCTATCCCTGGTCGTTTCAGACTAAAAATGGCAACAGCCTTTTTAGCCTGAAACGAAGGGCCATATTCGGTCGTTCATCAGAACGACCGGCCCTGAAACGCAGGCACCAAACCAGGGTTTTGGGGGAACAGCCTATCTTTAGACTGTTCCCACGCCAGCCTCGAGCAGGCTGCTGCACGCCAGCCCCTGGCACACTTCGGCATTGGCAAGAGCTGCCTCCTCGGCCTGCTCGCCCTCCTGCAGTCAGGAGGCAGGCCGACGTAGTACATAGGACTTCCCAGGCACTTCCGAGGCAGGCAGTTCGGCAGTTGTAGTCTTCAGGATTCGGGAGCAGCACTCTGGAGGGAGCGCTGCGTTGTAGTAGAGTAGTGTTAGCTAGTAGTCTTCAGCACTGGGCGCAGCAGGTAGCTGTAGTCTTCGGCGCTGGGTGCCATAGCTAGGTAGTGGTAGAACTGACGGGCGGAGGCCAGGGATCACTTACCTGCAGCGCCGTTGCTCCAGCTTCGTCTTCAAGGTGGTACCTGCAGCACAGCGCCAACATCACAGGTTAGTACCTGGTTCGTAACAGTGAGAGAGAGAGAGTTCTCTTCTTCCTCTTCTCAGTCTACCATCTTCTTCTTACCCTCTCAACTTCTGACTTCCCTGCAGTTGCAGACTACGAGAGAAGAAATACCGGGCTTGGTGACATATGATCCAGACTCAACTTTTTGGGGATTCAGACATGGCAACGAGGGACTATTTGGGATTGGTGACCAAGACTTGGTGTTAACGACATTCCCATCTTCCTCCCTCCTTTCGTCTAATCCTTACCTCTTCGTCTGTGTATGTCTGGACCTGGCGCTTGCTTCCTGTGTTACAGCGCCAGGCTCCTTCACACTCGGTGAT